TTGCAGTGCGTTGCAGAGCAGCGCTCACCCACTCCTGCCCATAGGAATCCTCCAGGTCGTTGGTGGAGCGGTCGTCCCAGGCCAGTCGCACCCCCAGCAGCCGTGCGGGCAGGAAGCCGTTCTCAGCCAGGATCACAAAGTAGGTGAAGAAGCCGCCCAGCGCCTGGATCATCCCTGCCACACAGACACAGTGGGGCCCGGTGTCACCGCTGGCTGCTCTGGTGACATCCATGGGTGCCCTGATGTCGCTACGGGTGTCCCAGGGCCGCCTATGGGTGCCCCGCTGCCTCCCGTGGGCACCCCGCAGTCACTGGCGCTTGTCCCCATTGCAGCCCCTGGGCGTCCTGGTGTCCCTGTGGGCACCCCCATGTCACCCACTGCGTCCCATTGACCCACTGTGTCCCATTGCCACTCGAGGGCACCCCAGTGTCACTCATGGCCATCCCCATGGGACCCAGTGTCACCTATGGGTGTCCCCATGTCAGCCACGGGCACCGCAGTGGAAGATATGGTGTCATCAATGGGCGTCCCAGTGTCACTATGGGTGTCCCAGTGCCACCCGTGTAACCCCAGTGTCACCCATGGGCACCCTGATGTCAGCCGTGGGCACCCCAGGGTCACCAGTGTCATCAGTGGGTGCCCAGTGTCACTATGGGTGTCCCAGTGTCACTATGGATGTCCCAGTGTCACCTATGGGCACCCCATGGGCACCTATGGGTGTCCCCATCTCACCCATGGGCACCCCAATGTCACCCGTGGGTGTCCCAGTGCCACCCGTGGCACCCCAGTGTCATCCATGGGCACCCTGATGTCAGCCGTGGGCACCCCAGTGTCACCAGTGTCATCAGTGGGTGTCCCAGTGTCACCTATAGACGTCCCAGTGTCACTATGGGTGTCCCCAGTGCCACCCATGGACACCCCATGGGCACCTATGGGTGTCCCCATCTCACCCATGGGCATCTCACCCAGTGTCATCCATGGGAGCTCTGGTCCAACTATGGGTGCCCTGCTGTCACCCGTGGGTGTCCCAGTGTCACCCATGGGCACCCTGATGTCAGCCGTGGGCACCCCAGGGTCACCAGTGTCATCAGTGGGTGCCCAGTGTCACTATGGGTGCCCCAGTGTCACCTATGGACGTCCCAGTGTCACTATGGGTGCCCCAGTGCCACCCATGGGCACCCCATGGGCACCTATGGGTGTCCCCATCTCACCCATGAGCATCCCAGTGTCATCCGTGGGAGCTCTGGTCCAACTATGGGTGCCCTGCTGTCACCCTTGTGTGTCCCAGCGTCACCCATGGGCACCCCAGTGTCACCCGTGGGTGTCCCTGTGTCACCCGTGGGAGCTCTGGTCCAACTACGGGTGCCCTGCTGTCATCTGTGGGTGTCTCCATGCCACCCATAGGTGTCCCAGTGGCACCCATGAATGTCCCACCGCCACTCACGGGCACCCCAGTGCCACTATGGGTGTCCTCTTGTCACCAGTGAATGACATGGGTGCCCTGGTGTCACCAGTGGGCATCCCAGTGTCACCAGTGGGAGCTCTGCTGTCACCACTGGGTGTCCCGGTGTCACCTCTGTGGGAGCCCCGCTCACACCAGTGTCACAAGTGGGAGACCGGGTGTCATCAGTGGGTGTCCCAGTGTCACTAAGGACATCCCAGTGCCACCCGTGGGCATCCCAGTGTCACCAGTGGGACTCCAGTGTCATCAGTGGGTGTCCCACTGCCCCCAGTAGCCCCCAGTAGCCATGACACGCACTGACCTGCCTGTAGGCCATGCTGATGAGGCCCTCATTGACCAGCTGGCCCCCACAGCCCCCATTGGCTCCCACTGATCACCAGTAGACCCCAGTAGCTCCCATTGACCACCTGTAGCCTCCACTGACCACCAGTAGCTCCCATTGACCACCAGTAGACCCCAGTAGCTCCCACTGACCACTAGTAGCCTCCATTGACCACCAGTAGCTCCCATTGACCACCAGTACCCCCCACTGACTACCAGTAGCTCCCCCTCACCACCAGTAGCCCCCATTGACCACCAGTAGCCCCTGTTGACCACCAGTAGCTCCCAGTAGCTCCCATTGACCACCAGTAGACCCCAGTAGCTCGCATTGACCACCAGCAGCCCCCACTGGCCACCAGTAGCCTCCATTGACCACCAGTAGCCCCCATTGACCACCAGCAGCCCCCACTGCCCACCAGTAGCCCCCATTGACCACCAGTAGCCCCCATTGACCACCAGCAGCCCCCAGCAGCCCCCACTGGCCCCCAGTAGCCTCCATTGACCACCAGTAGCCCCCACTGACCACCAGCAGCCCCCAGTAGCTCCCATTGACCCCCAGTAGCCCCCACTGACCACCCGTAGCCCCCATTGACCACCAGCAGACCCCAGTAGCCCCCACTGACCACCAGTAGCTCCCATTGACCACCAGTAGCCCCCACTGACCACCAGTAGCCCCCAGTAGCTCCCATTCACCACCAGCAGCCCCCACTGACCACCAGTAGCCCCCAGTAGCTCCCATTGACCACCAGTAGCCCCCATTACCCCCCACTGGCCACCAGTAGCCCCCATTGACCACC